AAAATCTCAAATAAAAAAATCCATCTCTGGAGTGTGGAATTTTTAAACGCATGCAGAGTGGAGACAAGTGGCACATGAGCGACCTCCTCCCCCCCCCCCCCCCCCAAAAAAAAAAAAAAAAAAATTATCAAACACTACCGGTTTCTAAATTAATCTTATTATTTTTTCCAGTAGTGTTAATGGCAGTCTGAAAAACCAATGGTTTGGTTTTTTAGCTTTGTAAATGGGCCTTTATGTCCAGACAAGAGTGTATTCTGATAAAAAGAGAAGGTCATGCTCATGTTTGCCTCATCTGTTTATCCATTTCTCTTCATAGGCAAAAGTTTTGGTAAGGGGGGAAAAAGCATCCTACAAATAGATAACTGCAAAGAAATTTAAGAAAATTAATTGTTAATAAATAACTACCCATGAATTTAGATGAGTGCCTTAAAGGTACTATGTCCCATTTGCAGGCCAAAGAAATGAAAAGGTTAAATTCCAACGGCATTTCAAAGATAATACTAATTTAGAACTTCCCTAAAAAAGGTGGGGCTTGAAAATGTCTTCAAGTGGGAAAATAATGACTATTAGTTGTCAAATCGACTTAGAAGCTATAGAGCCAATAAGTAATAGTCTTGATTTTCAGACCATTGTACCGAATGGTCATCATACGTTTTATGCGGCGCAAAGATTCAATCAGTTTAATTTTGGCCATCACAAGAAGTGGGTTATTGATGTAGACAAATGCTCATGTACCCTTTACAGCTCATTTTATGTATGTTATTACCAAAGAAGAAAAAAAGCCAGCCAGTCACTCAATAGTGTCTGGCAGTGAAGTCTAGCAAGTAAACGAGTTTCCTTGCATAATTTAAATATTAGGACACTGCTTAAATTTCACAGATAGGACATACATGACATATTCATAATTCATGCAAATTTCTACAGAATTTGAGGTGGGCTGCAAAAGGGACACAGTACCTTTAAACTAAAAAAATATAACGCCAAGTGTACAATGTAGGCTTACAGTATGCCGGCCTACCAGTGGCCAAACTCTAAATATCAATTTTATACATTACTGTATTAGTAATAGCACATCAATACTGTTGATTTTCTTTCTGCTCTTTTGGATTGAAAGCACTATACAAATGAAAAAACAATACCGGTAGTGACCTTTTAGACCTGACCACTGCCACTGGACCTGAGTGAAATGAAAAGAAATCAATACCTGAAGGCTTTCTTTTATTTCTTAAGAAAAGGCAGAAATCTTTACATCCAGGTTCCAGGCTCTTCTGAGAAAGTATTTGGCCTATATTTTTTCCCTGTCAATTGTCACGATTGAAGGTACTCAAAGGATTTTTTTTCTTCAAAAGAAAGCACACAAAAGTTCTCTTGCATGAAATAGGCCGGTTGTTCACTCTCCTGAACCATGGAACCCATGGAGAAAAAAAACATTGTAAAGGGGGAAGGGTCAACAAACTTTTTCTCCTAAACTTGAAATGGTGCCAATATTTAGGTTGAACAAACTTTTTAGCTGGACTACACAAGGTCAGAATAAAATAGTTCTAAGCAAATTTCTCAGGTTTAGTAGTTTCACCAGGGAAAGATGGTTCCACTTCTTGTGTTATTATTTTCACTTTCTTTTCACTGTCATGACATGCACATCCTCTGTTTAAATATAGGCTATGGTGAAGTGGGATATTGGGATATTGCATGTGTGCCAAAAAAACACACCCAAAAATGATAATTTTTAAAAAATGGATAGAAACTGGTCAACTTAGTACAGTAACTCCATTGTTGCATCAACAATATCATGTGTTATTTATTACAGAGTTTAATTTGAACAAATAAATGTACATTTAGAGAAAATGATGATCTCTCAGATGAATATCTTCATCGTCATGTTGGCCCCCATGTAATATAATTTACATTCCAACAGAAAGTAGTTTCAATTTGTAATGTAACAGATCTATATGAATTAAATAATACATGCACAGATATACATGTAGATGTGAAATCTGTTGGGAAATTTGAACTTTGAGTAAATTTTCATTTAAAAGTACATGTACATGTACATGTATAGTCACTGACTGAGACTATACTCATGCAGAGTACAATATTTCACCCCTAGGGCTGGCCCCAAATTAACTACAACAAGCCTTTGCCAGGTCAACAAACTTTTCCACTGAGTATACTGTGTATAATCTTAACTGGAATGCCATGGCATCACCTGCCCAGTTTGAGCAAGTGGTACACTATTTATTGATAAAACAAAACAACTTTAATGTTCTTGAGATGCAAGTGAATGATGGAAAAGAATGAATGAAAGAATTTAATCACCAAAATTTAATCACCAAAATTTGACCACATTAATAACAAAAACCAAAAACATATTTTGTTAATGTACATGTACAGTATCTAGTGAGTCTAGCTCAAATCATGGACCCTTCCAAAAAGTGCAAGCAGAATGAGTGACAATGCACTGTTAAGTCATCCTGTACTCCATGTTACTACAACAGAATATAGAAGTTTAATGAAGCAAGCATACATGAAAGACTAATCTGACCTTGGGGATTACTTTCAATAAGCAGGTTATTACTCATTGAATCTTCTCATAGAGAACTCTGTTTCTATGAAAAACATCCTTTCACACAAATCACAGGATTTCAATAGCCATGAAGAGTAAAAGGTTGTATGTAATATGTATAGTGCAGAAAGGACTGCAGCGCAATTTTTTTTGTTGAAATTGCTCAACTGACAAGTCTCCTTTAAAAACCCAAAGGACTATCTATACTGCATTAGGTTCAGTGCATCAAATTAGTGTTCATGTCTTAATAATATCAATCCATGATGATTTTATACTACAGGCACTCATATCCCCCAAAACACTAGATTGGAATTGAAAATTTCTCATAGATTCAGCTGGATTCATTCCATGAAAACATCAAAGTTGGAAATAAAAGATTTTTTATTTGGATAGCATATTGTGACAAGGACTTTCTAGATACTAGATAGAGCAACTACAATGTTAGACCAAAAGTTGCAGTCTCTGATATCGACTTGGTTTCGCTGAGATTGCATCTGGCTCCACTGACCGCCTCTATACATAGACTGAAGTACAGCCTATGCCGTACTAGTGGAACAAATGGTTCGGTTCGGCAGGACCGCGATGAATGAGATATGCAACAAGATTTTCACTCTTTACATCCTCATAAATGGACTTTTGCTGCAATATTACAATAGACTAATAAAAATATAAAAAATAACAAACATATATATGGCTTTGACTTACGATATCTTGCTCATTTATATCCTAAATTAATGATTAATCCGAGAAAGTCTCGTAGTCGACATGATTCGTTGTCATCCATCTTGGTTTTTATTAATGAATATTCATTTTTTCTTTTTGAACGTCCAATAGCTACGTACGAGTCAACCCAGTGATATATGAATATTCATAACCCGATACGGAACGAGTGCTCTGATTGGCCATTTGCTATGTTTTGGTAGGTTGACCCGGAAATATATCGGCCGGGTGATGTCATAGATTACTAATTTGAATGGATGAACGGTACGTTTCACGGTTCGGAGAAAAAAATTGGATAAATCATATACAAAGTAAGTCCAAAAATTTTGCATTTGTATGATGAGTCAATTATTATTATTTAGTTTAAATAAGAGTACAATACATATACTTAATTTATATCTGATTTATAAATCAGAAAATTAGATCTAAATAGTGAAAATCGGGGGAGAAAGCTCTATCACCATAAGTGGCAGCTGGATTGGCCAGATTACACCCACGGTATGAGATCTCTGTAGTACTGTCTGTATATGGGGAATGTCAACAAATGTCAGTTTTATTAAAGAAATGACCCATATCAGACGATTATTTCTGTCTACTACAATGTATGACATTGGTGGATTTCTTCATTTCTTCATTTCTTCATTTTGTAGCTACATGTAGAATACTGCACACTGTTTTGATCCTGTACATGCACTGTAATCCTAATACAGTGTACCACATTTTGGTTTCAAATAACAGATCACAGGAAACTTATGACCTTGCACATGAACAACAACTCTTCGCTGTCAATAATTTCCTTATTGGGAATCTTTGTATGTAATATATATTGATAGATCCTGTGATATGATCTTGTGTCTTGTGATATGATCAAGTTGCTGGTATTCTAGTTCTACATGTATAAAATGTCCACTGCAGATAAAATTCAGTTATCTGATTTATTACCGGTCACTGTTTAAATAACAGAATTGAGTTTAGATGTGGAGTGAAAATGTGAAATGTATTCTTTTGGGGGGATTTATTTGGGTCTTGATTTTTGCAACATCATTCATGTTTGTACTAAACAGTGGTTATGAATCAATGCACTATTCACTCAAGCATAAACAAGGAATATTGCATTTTTAGGTCATAAATTTGAAAATTGTAAAGAAAAGGAAAGAAGAAAAAAATTATCCTGAATCTAAGTTAGACCTTCCCAAGTACAACTAAAGTTTATACAGTATTTACACGTACTTACTGGAAAAAAGATTGCATATTAGGTCTCATACCAGTGAGTATATTGTGAAAAGCTTGAGCTGTGATTTGCCAATCTATAGGGTACATGTCATGTGTTTCGGGTATGAGTGTTTGTCACCTCTCCTACTTCTCTGTAAATTCTTGACAAGGATTCAAGGGGCTCTTAAATTATCATAATGGGCGAGCAATTTCACACATCATACAACTGGAAGATTCATTTTAAAGAGAAAAGGTAAATATCACTGAACAAAGTCAAAGAAGAAAAGATACAGTACGTATTTGAGACTTAATAACGCTAAGGCATTTCTGAATCATTTTACTCCTGGAATATAACTTATATTAAATAATGTAATCCTGTAACAATATTTTGATATAAAGTATTTGATACCAATCACCACAGAAACGTAACATTTTTTACCCCTAACATTACTTAAAATCTTGACTTTTTAACATCTGAAGAGATTCATATGCACACAATACCTACCTTTATTGTGACAGGCAGAAATATACTGATGAGAAGAATGGAGACAAGGCAGAGAGAGAAAGTGATAAGACACCAAAAGAAGAGAGCGGTCCAGTCGATACCTGCCAGACACCCCAGTGCTTCCCAGACCACGGATGATGACCCACCGTTGGTCATCCTGATGTTCCTTGTTTCTGCACACTGGTCAGTTTCTCACACAGTGAGACTTCCAAATGATGAATTAATCACCCTTCAGCCTACAAAAGACTGCCGTATAAGTCTCTTTCTAATGTAGGGTCTGAATGTTCAGATCTCCTGGTTGACTGAGATAGCAATCTGGTGTTGTAAGCCGTCTTGATAGAAGAATTTGGAATTGTGTCCTCTGGTCAAGTCATGATCACCTGTACAAAAAGAGGACAAAGGAACACATCAATACTACGATACAACACCCAATTACATGACGGAAAGTATGCAATATATGGCCAAAACAGATGCATGTGAAGTGTGTAATTGTGTAACAAGGTATTTGAGAAAAGGAAAGGTTACATTATCATACACTTGTACAGGATGACCTTCATAGAATACAGAATTTTCGAAACTTTTTATCAAATAGGATCACCGCAAGGAAAATGCGCTGTATAAAATATCTTTTGGATTGGATTGGATATGCACTGATAATAAAGTATGTAAATCAAATCAACACCATTTAAGGAAACCTCAACCCAGAAATAAAGTTTAATCATTTTGAAAGGAATATTGTATTCTTGCCCATTAATCTACAAGATAACTCACCAAAGTGTTCAAGAGAGGTATAAAACAAGATGTTCCTAGCATACTGTACAGTTTCTCAGCAAGACATGGACATCGCCCATTTCTTGATCAGATGATGTAATATGCGAAGTTGTTTATCAAATAAATGATTTAAATTTATGTTTGCTTTCTACCCAGGCGTGTGTGGTGATGAAGAAATTTCATTCACTTACCATTAAATTTACGGTACCCATTTAACTGCAATGGCTCAACGGTTGGTTTATTAAAATATTCAAATTGTACAAAAACGTTTTCAACAAAGGTTGTTCTGGACAACCTGAAGGCTTGCCGAGGCTCGCCTGACAAAGCAAAAAATAATGTATGCAGACTGGATTCTATGTACCGGTATTGCAGTTCATTCATTAATAACAGGTTAATGGAATACATGTAGGTCCCCAGGAAACGGCTGATTGTCAACGAAATGGAGTTAAGTCATTTGTTAATTTTGTTTGTTGATACAGCAGGCAGCCAGTGAAAACGAATTCGTTTAATCAAATTATGGTTTAATCAAATTGTCTCGGACGCACTGTACAGTGTATGTGATGTTTGAATAAAACAATTGGGATTTGGGTATTAATTCTGTCTTTGCAGATCCAAATAACATCCCTAACAAAATTAATCATGCCACACATGCATATCACATATATACAGAGACGCCAAGTTCAAAGATCAGCAATGCGTGACATTTTCATGATTCGGCGCTAAAGCGCGCGTGCAAGGATGTAACACACGTATAAGGTATAGGCCTAGCATTTTTTCGAAATCTAGCGCGCGCGTCGTGCGTGAGAGCGTTTCTAGACCCTCGGAATTTAGTCTAGTCTAGACTACTCTATCTTTGAAAATAGTTACAAGATTTTTTAATTTTACCTTTAAGCCCTAGGCCTTGATCTTGATCTAGATCTAGACTTCTAGGACTAGGCCTAGGTCTAGTTCTACTCTAGATCTACTAGACCTATCTAGATCTAGATCTATTAAATAACGAAATTGATTTTTGTTAGTTTTTGTTACACTTCTTGAAAGCTGTCTAATCTTTACTTACTTTCATAAATCTACATGAATTTTCTGTTAAATCAATATTACCGGTACTTAGAATAACAATTAAAAGGCAATATCTATACAAATACAACGACAAATAGTATCACACAGATGCACAAGGGCTAGGCGCAGTGCACATGGAGCCCGCGCCCGCCTACCTCTTCGTCGAATCCGGATGCTGGGCTCGGTCCTATCACTATGCTGTGCCTGTGTGGTTTGTGGAGAACTGGAACAATTTTAAATCTACGATTTCTCACCTCGATTATATCGTCGTCATCTGTGCTTGTTACTGTTAGTTAAGTACGATCCATGATTTATTCTAGGCGCTAGGAAGATTAGAGAAGTCCATACATATTAAACCACCCCGAGGAGTACCTGGCATGAGTCTTGTCTCTAGATCTACTTTTCTTTCTTTCTTCCGATATCTTCGTTCATGAATCAATTTCGTCTTTCATTTGTGTGTGCATGTATTGTACGTTGAGTGCGAGTAGTGTTCGTGTGTGTTCGTACATACGTGTGTGCGGTACTATTCTGTATTGTGGTGGCAAATTATGCCCGCGCTGCGTGTCCACTGTCTGCTAGACTTGTTGTGGTTCAATAAACTTTTCGTTTTCACGGGCAAGGGGCTTCCCCTAACTACGGTAACGGTCTAGGACCATGGACCTACTAACTGCAAATATTGATTGCTGACAATAAAATTGGGATAAAGTAAAGAAAAAATATTAATAAAATGGGATAAAGCAGTTAAAGATTCATGGAAAGAATATCAGAGACCTCACGCTACATCCCCACCGCCCTGTTAAAATATGTTAAACCTATTTAATATCATAAAGACAATAGTTCACATTTATCACTTTTCCTCTTTCTCTATTTTTTTAACAGATTTTGCATTCTCTTAAGATATGTTCTTCCTGTTGTATACCTTCATTAATGCCTTTTTTCAAGTTCTGGTTCTTGTTTGGTACAATTCAACATTACTGGTGGAGTAAAATGAATTGGATTGGGTGTGCGCATGAAATAATATTACTTGTATTAATAAAGCCATTTTGATTGAGCTATGAATGTAATGGGGAGTTGGCTCAGTCAGTGAAGCATCTGCCTGTCAGACCAAAGATCTCAAGTTCCCACCCAAGTGGATGACTGCAGCCTACATTGTGTGTTAACGTGCCCCTCCCCTTAAAACACTCCGTCCCTCGGTTAGGACATTAAATGGAGGCCCCGTGTACAGGAGAGTCACCACCCTTGTACGTTAAGAATCCACTGCACTATTCGTATATTAGAGTCGGGAGAAACCCCGGTATATTGGTCCACCTGCACACCTCAATCAGGCCGAGTATATACGGCATGTGCAAGAATCTTCAGTATTGAAGGAGGCAGATATCTGTTATAGACATTGGTCGGAAGTTTCAGTCTGTCAGAGTTTTGGGAAGATAGGGGGATTTAAATGAGTCTTTTTTAAATCTAATTTCAATGTATGTTTTGTGATATCTCCTGTTTGGATGAGCGAGTTATAATGTGTAGGAGGTATCAGACTGGACTGGACATATGGTACACACAGTTACTTTGGTGCCTATTTCTATTATAGTCACAATGGGATTGTTGAATCAACTAAATGTTATGTACCATGCCTTGCCTTGGAAGCAGTGACTACATAATAGTACATATTCTAAGTTTGCCGTGTTCTGACACTTACACACTTAAACATGTAAGTCCAAATAAAAAAAATTAAAAAATAAAAAATTGTTGACCCATGTACAATATCATTGTTTATCTCGAGAGAAAGAGAGAGAAAGAAGAGAGAAAGAGAGAGAAAGAAGGAGGCAGAGGATTAAAAGGAAAAGAACGCAAATTATCTTCATAAAATATTAAAAAGAAATCTATATAGATTATGTACCTCTTCATTAGCAAAATCTGTGTAAGTAGGATTAAAATATAGTATGTCATTGATCAGATGCATCTAGCAAACAGATAAGATGTCATTTTAATGGATAAGTGCCAGTCAGTAGCCTATATAGATATATACCAAAGGAAATGCAAACTTAGAAATTATTTTTTTATTTAAGTTGAGTACCACCATCATCTGCTTTCGTAACTTTTCATCAGTGGTCTTTTTTTTCTTTTTGTAACTAATTGGTCATCAAATTACACACTAATTAAATTAAGTAAAAATAAAAATCACACAGTAATGCTATCATTGGAAGGAAATTCTAATTGTAAGCATGTCATCAGCTTTTCAAACCCAGGTGTAATATTTTAGAAAAAACATCCACAGGGAGAAACAAATGCAAATGTTGACAATTTTTTAAAACGAAATTAAAACACTTGAAATCACTATCTTAACTTAAATCCTACAATTGCAATTCAATAAAAAAAATATTAAAAAAAATAACTATAAGAAGCCAAGTAGCAAATTGTTATTAGCTAATTTCAACACTCAAAATAATTTTATTGACAAGACAAAGTAAATGTACAGTATAATGCACTGACTTTATATGTCTGCACATTAATTGAAATTTATTAGATTAGCCATGAAACGAAATAAATGTCTAAAAAACTAATATACAATAAAGATATACCCAACATTACAAGCTATCTACTACAAATATTATGCCAATAGTATTTAAAGAGTACAACATAAGAACTTATGGAAGTGCCTGGTGCATTCCAGAAGACAAAATCAGAATTTACTTTATAATGTGTAAAGATGTTTCAGATGGTTGTTATATAAACTGATAAAAGCTTTTTCAAATATTTCACTATTTCAAATCTATAAAAATACAAAAAAACAAATACACTTGTTGACAAAATGTACCTGTTAATTAGCCCAAAATAAAACAAATGAACACAAATACCTAATCCCCCAACTGGCCCAAGTAAGAAATGCATTGTGTTGCTGAAATAATTAACATTGCCAACCTCTAGATGGCGCTACACCACTCTCTTATTTTGGTCCATGGTTTGGACAATGAATACAACTTCATATTGTCCAAAGTTTCCATTTTTAAATTTAATGATCTGACAAGGTAACAAATGGATAAAAATCGAAATGATATATAAAAAAAGACAAATAGACAGGGCAATGTATTCAATGTACTTGTATCTATTGACATTTATTTCCTTCTGAACATTCCAATATTAAACACACAATGTTTATATATAAATTGTATTATATATGTAACAATGATTTCAACATAGATTATACATTTAATAATTCAGATGCATGAAGGCAAAAACCAGAAAAGCATAGCTTGAGTTGGGAACGCCCATAATAAGTTAACACAGTTACTGAGAGAACTTTATAGATATTATTATGAAAATTACATATTGTATAACAGAACGTTGATAGGAAAGAAAAAATAGTAAATGGAAGAAAAAATAAGAGAATTAAGTATAGGAAGGCATGTTCACTTAAAAAGAAAAAGTTAACTCTGTCTGCGATTACATCATAAAAATATCAAAGTACAACAAGTTGTGTACTACAAATAATGTGCTAATATAGGCACACTATATAAGAATTAATGCAAGATCTGTCCAGAATACATGTACATGTAGTTATGCTCCATAAACAAGAGATAAGAGTTATATAGATATCGGATGAAAAATTGTTGAGTATGGCACTTTGAAATATTTACAAGACATATTTTAAATCATAAGAGAATCAAATAAGTATTACATGTACAAAACATTGAAAAGTGATGATAAAAATACAGCTAAAAATTATCATCTTTTAAAGTGCAATAAATCCAAGTAACTATCCTTTTGTGATGTATGTATATAATAACATTAATCTACAGACATGTATATTAACAACTCCATGGACAATCACAAAAAGGAAAAACAAATAAATCAAAGTAAAATTCAAATTAGGAGTGAACATTTTATTCAAATAGTATCATTACTTTGCGAATGAATCTAAAATAATATTCACTAAAGTTTATGACAATAGTACACAAAACCTGCATATCAAATTAAAAAAAAACATCTAGTCATACTGTGCACCAGTTATGTCCACAAGGTGTTTCCAAAGTTTCCCTCTGAGCTGATTGTCATAAGCTACTGCTGAGGCCCTAGTTTTTCTCATATCCACAAAATACTCCCCAGTGACATCTTCAAATTTTGCATCAGTTGCAAGATGAAATTCATTATCTGCCTCGTCAGTGGGAATTCCTATTGCTCCCCATCCTTTCAGTAGCATCTGGGTATTGACAGTTCCTGGGTCTAAACAGTTCACTGTGATGCCATCTTTACGGAATCGTTCAGCCATGTCTATGGTAAACATTATATCACATAGTTTAGACTGCTCATACGCTTTATTACCCTTGCCATAATCATGTTTGAGTTGTAAGTTATCAAGATCAAGAAAACTGGACTGGGAGACGGAACTGACATTAACAATCCTGCTTTTATTACCAGCCTTTAGGAGGTCCAGAAGGAGAGATGTCAGCAAGAAAGGTGCCATGACATTCACAGCAAAGGTCAATTCATATCCATCATTCGATTCATGTCTCATCTTCTCATACACACCAGCATTGTTGATTAGGACGTCAATGTGCTTTTGAGAGGCGTGGAGTTCATCTGATAGACGGCGGATATTTGCCAAACTGGCGAGATCAGCAATGTAGCCTTTGATGTTTTCATTACCAGTTGCCTTCTTGATGTCCGCTACGGTGGCTTCAACCCTCGCCGGAGCTCTCCCGTGAACAAGGACTGTCGCGCCGGTCTTAGCGAGTGAGAGAGCCGTGTGCTGCCCTATGCCATTTGTAGCACCCGTTACTAAGAATATGCGGCCATTCATCTTGGAAAACCACTGAGCAGCTTGCCGTAAAATAAACGCCACTTTTTGTGGTGTTTTGAATGATTGTCAGGTAAAATATCACGTCAAAGACCTTACTCCTTTAGCTAATAAGTCAGCTGGCAGTTGTCAACAGTTTTTACAACTAGGCTCAATTCAAGACGCGAGTTTTGGGGGTGGGAACCGTTTCTATAATTTCTACTCTAAATAATGTCTTATTGTTGCAAAAAATTATAAATTTAATTTTTCAAACATATGAATTTATTTACACACACAAAATCAGTAAACATTCATATCATATTAAGTGAAGAGGTTTACAGAAAATCAATAAGATGAAACATTTAAATATAAAGAAACTGAGCTCCAGACTATTGCTGAGGGGGCGTGGTGCATGGTACCCACGAGGCACGTCTGTGACGTAGGGAATAATGCATACCGGTATTCATATATCCACTAAACTTAGTGCCAATAATATCCTACCAGTATTTCATGCACATATACATGTACATTTCATCCTCTCCCAATGAAACCCTATTATATCCTATAATTGAGTTATAAAAATTGCAACCCTCTACTTTAGAAATGCTTATTAATGATTGTTAATGTGTTTCATGTGATATAGGGTACTTGGCACCAGTAACCTCCAGAATCCCAGTATTAATACATGCATATTGCATTCAAATTAGTATTGGCATCAATCATTCCATAAACAATACACAAACGTTTAGCAGCAAATATCACTGACCACTAATTATGCCTATCTCTATTCTATTACTCAATCCCCATCTCCCCCCTTTCTCTCCCTCCGTTTCTCTCTCTTCCCTGTTCCCACAACCACTTTCTCTCTCTCTCTCTCCCTCTTCTACATCCACATTTATCTGCTAACGAATGTACCCACACTCAATATGAGACTAAGAGTAACACATTCCATCCATTTTGAGCTTAAATTAAAATGGATAGTTCATGAGCATGTTTTTTTATCACACAAAGTAGTCTTAAAATAATGTCACAAAGAACAAATTTTCAGTTTTTCTCAAAAATTTATTACAAATTTACATCACAAATCATCTGCACTTAATCATATGCGGAGACATTAGATAAAGAAAATGTACATTTGATCAGATGGCAAATCATATGTGTACAGGATCCAGGGTCTGATAAATTGTTTATTCTTCATGCACACTATGTACCAGCAAGAAAATCAGCAGATATCAGTAATCTTATGAAAAATGCCATGGCATGGATATGTATAATGTGTATGTTCATTCCATTCCCCCCTATATTCATTGGTACTTTCGTGATACTTTATGATTTAGGATTACTCTCTTCTTTAGTTCAAGAAATGGCTTTGCAAGGAAGGAGTGTGTATCTGAACGATTGAACAGAACCAGTATTCAACACTGGTAATGTGTAGAAAAGGTCAATTGCAGGTGATTTAAATATCTTAATTCCATGTCAATCATGAATGTTCCACAAATATTTAAAAGAATACTTCTCAAATTGTATTTTCTTGGTTTCTTTCTCAAATCCATGGGAAACAAAGCAACATATACAGAACCCACAGAAAGGCAGGTGACATTTCTAGACAGGTTGTACAACATGAATATTCTTCTTCCTACTAGGCAATAGAAGAGACTACACATGGGTGGCTTTTAGAGAGAGAGAGAAAGAGACAAAGCGAGAGTGAGAGCGTGCCACTTAAACATATATGAGGATTTTTTTTCTTCAGCCCACTTGCCACTGGCTCTTGTTTTCAAGTCATATTATCAAACTTGTTGTAAAAAAACATTGGTCCCTGTATTACCACAAGCTTCAGGCAGTGTTTATTTGCCAAGTGAGTGACAAAATGAATTATCATGAAATGGTTCAATACTGTACATACAGCCGAGGTTTATAATATGATCTTCTTTTCTCTCCATACACAGTGGCATACTGGAGTGCCGTGCAAAGTGGAATTGCTAGAGATTGGTGGGTGGTGTTAATGCAACACTCAATGACAATACCACATGTAACTTATGCTTCTAGTATTCAATCTTACTTAGTCCAAATCTTAATGTGCACATCTCACTCACAATATCCTTTGTTTATCAGTCTGATTTATTAAAGATTTGTTTTCATAAATATTTACTTGTATTGACCTTAATCAATCATTAAAGAGAATACTTTAAGTCGACGGTGTGGTAGAGTTCCTATCTTTCGCAGACCAAAGTTCAGTGCAACATATGTAACAGCCAGCTCTCCTAGCACTACCAGTAACTGCCAGGTTGTGTGGAATATCAATTCTTGCTTAGTAAAGATTTCAATTTACTAAGTTGTAACAGAAATCTTACATGCCTTTCAAGACAGAAGAAAAGTCATTGTATCTTTGGTCTCTGTATCATCTTACAAAGGTAGAATTATCTTTAGACCTCCACTCCAGTATCCAGACTGAAACCTTCGTTTGTTCACGGATGATCTCTGAACTCAGGGATTCCTGATAGCATCCTAAGGCATTCATACTATCAACACTTTTCATTCCACTGTTCAATGTTTCCCCTCCTGACATGCTAATTCCATTGTAGTTTATACACAGATGTCAGACAGACAGACAAAGATGGAATCCTTTCGGAGGTAGAATAGCAATACATTAGGTGACCTGTCACAGCTTAGCTTTCTCAATTTCTTTTTATGCAGTGGAAGCATGGGAATATACGTGGGTGGAAGTCTTCAAGGTGCTATGTTAGGCTTTCCTCATACAATGGCATACTGCTCATACAAAAGTTCCCTAACAGTGTAGTAATCATCACACACAGCTCCTTCCAGAGTCAGATGGCCTTTCTCATTCTGAAAACAAAACAAAGAAAGAAGGGGTGATGGAGTATAGTGGTGATAGTATTATATTCCACATACTAAGAATCTTGGTCTACGATTGGTCAAAAGTAAATCACGTGATGAAAGATAGTTTGCCCATCATTGCTGGGAAAGCAAAAAGTTTGTTACACTGTGTAGATAGTACTACTATCTACACAGTGCAACACACTTTCACTGAAGATAGAAGTACTATCTACACAGTGCAACGCACTTTAATTGTATACGTTGCGTAATGCTCTCCTCTTTAAGCGCTTTTAGTGCTAGTATGCGATACTTGGTCACTCGCGAACTATGGTCACACCACCATACTGCATACCCTTTACGTTTCGTACACCGTTTGCTCGATGTTAATTGATGACTTGTTGCTCTAAAATGACGGAAGAAGTCAAATGTTTCCGATGTGGAATATAAAGCAAATAATCACCTTTTGGTTTCAGGCGATGGCAAACTATCACTTCCTCTGCGATCTGAACGCACATGCTATCTTTCCTCAGCTTCGCTTCACAAAGATAGCTACATCCAGATCGCCTCGAAAGTGATAGTTTGTCTCATCACCTTCACCAACGGTACTTATTTGCTTAATAGTCATTCTGATTTCTTTCTTGTTAAAAATTAAAGACTGCCCTGTTCAAGCTACTTTTTCGAACATTTTAATGAAATCATATAATCAAAGATAAAATCAATAGCGCTACACTTATGTCTATATAATGTTTCACTGCATATTATCTTTTAAATGGCTTATAAAGCACAATTCTGGACAAAAGGTATCATATTGGTCATACATAATACTATTATTTTTCCTATTCAAAATAAATTAATAAATTTACATTGTGGCATATCTATATTTACAAGCATAGTAAGGATGATATTGATGACCACAAAGATGACGATGATGATGAAGAGGAAAGGGAGAATGCGGATGATGATGATGACAATGACAGTGATGATGATGATGACAATGACAGTGGATGGATTGCACATTAAACTGATTTATTTCCTCACCCTTTTGATGGCGACAGTGTTATTACATACAAGTACACCTCCTGTGAACTCTGCTCTGATTCCATTCTTAGCCAGCACCTGCTTGAAGTCTAGGAACCTTGGTGGGTTGACATACACCTGCCGATGGGGTGTTACCTATAATCCCATCAAAAGAAAACAAGAATCATACCGGTATATAAATCAATCAAAGTTCAAATACTCTGATCAATTAAAATTACATTGTACCATCAAGTGATTCCGCCAACTCTTCATGAATTTCATCATTCCTCTTTGTCACTAAAAAGCAAACTCCAGTACAAGAATAAATGTTTTTTATTATTTCTTTCTTCATCATTCAATAGAAAATTTGAAGATGACACAATGTAGGAGCAAAATATATTTGGTTTAGAATCTCAAATCAAGTCTTTAACACATAATGCATATCTCATTCCATTGTTAAATTTTGTGCTAAATAAATAGGTTGTAAATATATATATATAAAAATAGAAAATCAAATTATAACAGAAGCATTATCATGCCTGCTCAAAATTGCTTCCATTTAAAGTGATCAGATGCATAAAATCAAGGAAACATTTTAGAAAATAAGAAACTAAAGGTCATAATGCCTTCTACTTTCTTAATAATAATAATAATAATAATAGTCACATTTGCATAGCGCTTAATACACGCTCCCATACACACTTCACACATAATGATGATAATCCCACACACCAGTGATTTCTTTTAAATTGAACCCACCTCGTTTGTTTGGACAGCATCAAGCACAGGAATGATATCATCTTCATCATCACTTGAATCTTCACTCTCATTTCCAAGTCCTGGTAAAAGGGATTAACAAGAAAACAATCTTGAGAGAATGGATATGTACCTGTAAAAAAAGTCTCCAACAATATATCAATTCAGTGTTGGAAACGTTTGTGGTCAACCACTGTCTCCCAAATCAAACAGATGCTCTGATCCAATTAGTTTTCAGCATGGTAACAGACGTTTGGGTAGGATTATCGGATGCAAAATAAATCATGACATAGAAAAAAAGACAACATGTTACTTTGCTTCATAGACTGTATTGAGAATATTAATAGAAAGTTACATCCTATCTACGGTAATCATTAAAGAAAAGAATGATTTCTTTGGAGATGAATTATTCATTCAATAGGAAAGTGTGACTGTTCTTTAAAAACCCCAGTCACACCGGACCAACAATTGAGAACAAAAATGTTACCACAAATGGACAAGAGTTGATCAGTTGGAGTCTGCTTGCTATTAATTAGGACCGCTGTTCATAAGGACCCCTATTCATAAGGACCGCTATTCATAAGGACCGCTATTCATAAGGACCGCTATTCATAAGGACAGCAATTCATAATTTGAAAAAAGGGTCATTATTCATAATTAAAGAAGAGGGTCGCTATACATAATACAAAATCAGGGTCATTGTTAATAGGGGTCCCTATTCATAATACAAATTTGTTAATGCTAAAGACCAGTATATTTTCATTAGGACCGCTATTCATAAGGATCGTAATTCATAATTTGAGAAAAGGGTCATTATTCATAAGGACCACTATTCATACTCAAAGAAGAGGGTCACTATTTAAAATGCAAAAACAGGGCCGTTATTAATAGGGGTCCATATTCATAAAACAAATTTGTTAATGTTAAAGACTAATATTTTTTTGTGTAATTTATCTTTTTCATTCTTTCTACATATTATCAATATTAAAGACTAAATATATTTTTCTATGTAATTTTTTTTGGGGGGTTTTGTTTCTTCTAATGTTAACTAAATCATCACTCATGTGAATCATTCCTTTGAATGTATAAGAACATTACTTGTATTTTGTT